ACGATCGATACGATTCGATATGAATTCCTCTACCGAAGTCGTTCGAATATATATATATATATATAACTTCGCTAAGGCGAGTTGCATAAACTTTGCGAGCGATACTTTCAGAGTCATCAGCCGCGCGTCCTGAAAGCTCGAAGAAGGACGAACTTTATATCTTTTTCATGAGAACTCGTTCCCCCGGCTTATGAGCCCAAGCACTAAACTAAATTATTCGGTTGACAAGTACAAGGTGATCCGGCCTTTGTACACGAGTTCAACCCCTCACTTTGACGTTTTCGCATCGATATTCGCGCATACCGCCCGATATTTCCTTTCTAGGCGAGCGTCACAGTTCGATGCCTGTTTTGTCTCGTTGTTTCCTCGAGCGAACGAAAGATAAAGAAAAGCGGGAGGAGGGGGGCGAGCTACGAATGTTTTCAACATTCCTCTCTTCATTGAATTTTTCGAAAGTATGCGTAACGGCATTAAAAAATCGAAAGGATAAACTAAGTTATAAAAATTTTTCGAATAATAAGTTACTAATAACAAGTAATTACTCGTTAAAATATTTGAACACTTATAACCATTGCAATTATTTTCATCGTTTTAAACAATTTCAACTTTATTAAATTTGATCATCATCATTGATAGAATCGTAAAATCTCAGATCGAGCACTATTTTTGATACTACTTCCAAATCGAAATTTTAACTTACGGATCATTCTCTACTTATTTTTAATTTTAATTTTAATTCGACATCTTAATCGAGTCGCAAGTTGGAAACATCCGCGTTGTACATTCCATACATCGCATCGTATCGGAATGGCCGACAATTACCAAACTTGGCCCGTCCTTTAATTGATCTCAATTAATCCAGGCGGGCAAATAATTCCAATATTCGGTCTGGCTTAACTTTAATCTCAATTTCTATACCCCCCTCCCTCCCTGCTTGTCCCAAAGGGGTATGGCATCGGTGTTTATACTACTGCAAATCTATCCCCCGCGATACGAGGGGGAGCAGCGATACAGCAGCGCAAAGTCTCTCGGTCGGTAGTAGTCGGTCGAGTGGTAACACCTTTATCAGTGCAACACTATCCAGAAGCGCGCTAGGGACTTTAGATCGGCACAAGTTTCGCTACCTGTGGGAAGCCCGCGTTCCCATAAACCGCCCTTCTTGCCGACGACCCCCTTTCCTCTTCCAACCCTCTTCCAACGATACTTACTAGGTTTAAACCGTAAAACAAGATACGTGATACGTATCCTCTTATGCATCTACTTTCGTATGCTGTACACCGTGCGGTAAGTGCTCTAAATTATCCGACCACCTGCAACCCAGCTGGATGCATGTGGAAGAACTCGTAGGCGGCGAATTTTCTCTCTTTTTCTTCTTCCGATGAAAATTTGTATCGTATTGCGGAAAGGGAGAATTGCGTGAGAAATTGGTAATCGTTAGAACGGAATGCGTATCGAGTTAGATTAAATTAAGTTAGGTTAAGTTAGGTTAGATTAGATTGGGTTAGGTTGGATTAGATTAGGTTAAGTTAGGTTAGGTTAGATTAAGTTGGGTTAAGTTAGGTTGGGTTAGATTAGGTTAGGTTGAGTTAGGTTAGATTAGGTTAGGTTGGATTAAATTAAGTTAAGTTGGATTAGATTAGGTTAAGTTAGGTTAGGTTAGGTTAGATTAGGTTAGATTATGTTAGATTAAGTTGGGTTAGGTTAGGTTGGATTAGATTAGATTAAGTTAGGTTAGGTTAGATTAAGTTAAGTTGGATTAGATTAGGTTAAGTTAGGTTAGGTTAGGTTAAGTTAGATTAGGTTATGTTAGATTAAGTTGCGTTAAGTTAGGTTAGGTTAGATTAAGTTGGGTTAGATTAGGTTGGATTACGTTAGGTTAGGTTAACTTATATTAGGTTAAGTTGTGTTAGGTTGGGTTAGATTAAGTTGGATTAGGTTAGGTTAGGTTAGGTTAGGTTTTCTTTGAATTTTTTTTAACTGTGTTATCGTGTTAACTATGATCTGGTTGACGAGAAATATCCTATGATTCGGACGACGAAATTGGTCTCGGAAGAAATCGTAGATATGAAAGATCAGCGAGGTCTTGAATTTCTTCTTTGCCTTTCTTCCCTTTCTGGTATGGCGCACGATCGTTTCGAAAGGGTTTCCGGAGGCAAACTTGGGAGCATTTTATAAATTGAAAAGGAAAGGGGGATGTTTGAGAAATATCGGTCGCCTTTCATTTTTTTTTTCTTTTTTTGTTATAACTATCGCATGGAGACGATAGATCGGAGTCGAATTCGATCGACATTCATAATTGGAATAATTGGAAGAATTTTCGTTTCGAAGTGTGTTCTATGTATATTGTTATAAGACGAGAGAAGGTTAATGTAATTTATTTGTGAAAATTTTTGTGCAACGATTCGAACGAGAAGATGACAGATTATTATGGCAGAAATCGGTTTCCTGCGTGAATTTTTACACTTTTCTTAAAGATTCTTTAATATCGTAAAAAAAATAAAAGAGAAGTTAAATATACGTGTTCAAGATATTCAGAGCAATATTCGATGAATTGAACAACGAATTTCTTCGATATTTGAACTATTCTTATACCTGCTCGGAGAGAAAATATTTTTTCGAAACTTTCGAAGCAATATTCGTAACGCACAATATTCAACAAAGATATAACAAGAGCGAGAAACGAAGAAAACACACGGATACACCCCTGTGGTGGAAAAGCAAATTAGAATGTATAATAAGACGAAAGAATACGTTTAACGTTTAAAAAGTTACTCTAATTACCATTTCGCACGAGGTGCTGGAAACTTTTTAATCCTCCCTTAAAAATTTCAACAAGAATTAAAAGAGATATATATAAAAAAAAAAAATTCAACTCTCCAAGTGTCTATTCTCTCCCTATATCATCCCGATTCCTCGCGATGCGATAAACCCTCCCCTTAAATAACCAATATCTCGAATCTAAATTCGGTTTACGAGAAAGATAAATTCGCGGGCCGATGTTAACATCGATTTCCTTCGTTCACACTGCAGGGAAAACTACTGCCAACCACGAGACCACGGAAGAAAAATCGGAACGCCGCTTAACGCCTCTCTTATAAATTTCACAAATCATCGTATTCCTTTCGAGTCGAATCTTCTCGTCTCTCCTCCGATTCTTTCGATTGCCTTTTAACCCGCTCGTGCCCCCCTCCGCGACTAAAGTAATTACCAACAAAATTAATTACGCCGATAAATAGACCAGGGGTGGAGGAAAGTTGTTCCATCGGGGAGGAAGCGAACGGCCAAGTTTTCCAATTTTCTCCCGCGAAACGAGAGGGGAGGGGGTGAACCGCGTGGATGTGGATATCATTGCGCATCTGGAGATCGGTTTACACTCTCCCTCTACATATATATATATTTATACACGTACATATATATATATATATATATACACTGGTCTGTGTTTTGCCGAGCCAGTGTCGAGTGAAACGAATAAGCGATAAATAACCGGGTCCCGTGGACGCCGGTAATGCTCCGCTAAACGTATATACGCATTACGCTGTCCCAGAAATAACGTATCTGGCAGATAATGCGGAACAGGAGACGGTAAATTCTGGTGACGTTTTACTCGAGAACGGCACGGCGAGGGGGGAGTATCTAGGGGAGTAAGACGAAGGAAGGAAGGAAGGAAGGAAGGAGGAGGAATGATGGATCGAAATTTTCGCAATTTTCTCTCCTCTCTGACTCTGACCTCTACCTCAATCCTGGGCTGCATATGCTCCCGTAGGATGTCAACTTCAACCCGACGTTGTAACTTTGTTTCCCGGCTTATTTTACGCCTAGCTTGGTATCGAGCAACTTGCTCATTCCAGTTGATAAAAAGTTTCGTTATTAGATGTGTACCCTCATATAAGTTTCCCCTGAAAGACTAATCAATGTTGCATTTTTCACGAAGATTCGTCCCCCCCCCCCGGTTAAACGCCCCGGCAGATTGAGAGAATTTGTTGAGCGAATATATCTCTTTTATCTGTAATATAAATATTTTCTCGAAACGATATTTGATTCTCGAGTCGTCAAGATTGGAATCGGTTCGTTAAAAGTTGCTCGAAAGTGACGAATTTCACATAAAATTCTTCTTCCGCGTCAACAAAATTTACATTGAAACGCTCCCCTGCCAGTGAATTTTTCAATGGAGAATTCTATTTTTAAACTCCCGCAGGCGTGGACGATTATCATCGCAGTTCATTCCTTGTTCAAAACTAACGCCATCTACGTAACATATACGATTAGCTCGTTTTTTCACGATCGCGTGCCTTTTTTGTAGCAGTTGTAGCAGTTTTATCGATGGCATTAGACACGAGTAGATATAGGGCGTCGTCCATTCACCGTCCAGCGAGGTGAATTTGATCGTATATAATGCACAACACCGCTATAAACCGCGCGGGAACCGCGTCGGATGCAGAATAATCCACTTGAAACGAAACGAGCACACCGTGATAAAGTGGGCGTTAAAGCGGCAACGGCTGCTAAAAAATCGGTACAAGGAGGTTATTACAACGCGCTTGTCCGTCAAATGGCCTCCCGCGTTAAAATTCCCCCTCCCTCCTTCGAGAAAAACTTCTTCTCGAGGAAGAAGAAAAAGAAGAAAAAGTTACGTTTTTATCCACTCTTTGTTCATTCCGTTATTTATTTTTCGATCGAGTGAAACGCGACTACTACTATTATTATACTCGAAATAACTTGTTTCCTTGTGGCCGAAATGAAAGGGTAGTTTTTCTGGGGGGGGAAGAGGAAGCGAAAATTG